CACACACACACACACACACACACACCAGGATCAAGGACTACCAAAGATGATCCCCTCACACAAGATTTAAGTTCTTTCTGGTTCCTCAAGGGTCAACTGAAAGACAAATAGCTTCGAATTGAGGCATAGGTTCCTTGCCTGCTAAATGACCTCTAAGATCATGATTGTAAGTGTCATGACTCTATGAATGACCTAAGAAGCCACTCTCCAGGAATAGCTTTCTAGAACCCTTGGCTCTAATCCACCAAGAGTCCAAGTAGAAAGAATCAAGAAATACTGCAGGTTTGGGAAGCAATATTTTTTATCTGTACATACAATGTATCTGACTAATTTGTTTCTTGACTGGTAATTTTTGAGTGAGGGTCTCTCTTGGTCTGATTCTCTTGGTCTGATTCACAATCCTATTGATGCTTCCAACTGTAGCTGGAATGACAAGCACATACCACTGTGACCAGCTGTTGTTTGTGATGGGATCTTGTGAACTTTTTGCCCTGCTTTTGAACAGTGATCCCCTGCTCTCAGCCTCAAGAGTAGTGAGGATTACAGGTGTGAGCTACCATACCTACCTCTTCACATCTTTTATTGACATTAAAAATGAGAAAATATGAAAAAGAATAAATGAAATTATTGCCTTGATAAGCTATCTCCTATGAATTCTTCCAATTCTGTTAAGAGTAAACATTTAAATAGAATAACTATTTCTGTTTCTAGGATTTATATCTGCAAAGTATTGCCCTCAGCTAGACTGTTCCTAAACTATTGAAAAATATGTTCATAGTACTTTGTTGAGTAAGAAATATCAAAAGGCTTGAAATTAACAGTTGGGTTAAAAAAAAAAAAAGTATTGGGGCTGGGAAGATGACTCAGTGGTAGAGCGCTTGGCTTGCATGCATGAGGCCCTGGGTTCGATTCCTCAGCACCATATAAGCAAAAAAGAAAAAAAGCCCTAAGTGGTGCTGTGGCTCAAGTGGTAGACTAGTCTTGAGCTGAAGAGATGAGGGACAGCGCCCAGGCCCAGAGTTCAGGCCCCATGACCGGACCAAAAAAAAAAAAAAAGTATCTTCTGCTTTTAAAAGGGGGAGATAGGGAATCAAGTGAAGAAACAAGATTCTAACCACTTTCACAATTACTAGGAACACAAAATTTTGTCACCACATGCAGCCCCAATGATTTTATCACCATTCACTACCTCATGATCATCCACTGCAACCACACTCACCAAAGCCAGCTCCTCTGCTTCAGGTACATCCTAATAGACTGATAGATGCCACAGATACCACCAACCCAAGTATATACACTGGGTGACATGAGAATTAGGTATGGAAATCAAGATCTCCTCTGAGCATCAAGGAATATCAAGTAGAAGTTTATTTGTTTTAGCTACCTGGTCCTTGAGTCTCTAAACCAATCCCCCTCTCTCTTGGTACAGTCTCATCGCCTTGCTGCTCCATCTTCCCCATCTGTCTGAATTTACTTACACGGAGCTGTTCAAGGTCTGGTGGAGGCGGCGGGAAGTCAGGCTCCTGAGGTTGGAAAGCTTCTCTGACCTTGGCCACAGCTCCCAGGATCCGATATCCTGAGTCCAGGAAGCTCTTTTGCAGGCCTAAACACAAGACATTCTCACTTTCAGCTGAGCAGGTCAGTGCCCCAAAGCACTGTCTGTCCTGCAGAAGAACTGGTTCCCATTAACAAAAGATGGATGTGAAGCTGCCAGTAAGCATCATGGTGAGAGAAGGAAAGTAGGCAAGTCAGGTGCCTTGAGGCCTGCACAGAAGAGCCATGTGTCGGGGCTGGGAAGGTGGCTCAGTGGTAGAGCGCTTGCCTTGCATAACTGAGGCCCTGGGTTCGATTCCTCAGCACCACATAAGCAAAAAGAAAAAAGCTGGAAGTGGCGCTGTGGCTCAAGTGGTAGAGCTCTAGCCTTGAGCTGAAGAGCTGAGGGACAGCGCCCAGATCCAGAGTTCAGGCCCCACAACCAGATCCAGAAAAAAAAAAAAAAAAAAGAAGAGCCATGTGTCACAAATCAGTTGTTCCATGTTTAGGTGCCTTCTGGCTACAAAACTCAAAAGTACTAAGAAGATCCTGGTGTAAACACTGACCTCAGGTGGATCCCATCACCTCCCTTACGATAAAGCAATCTCGAAGGTAAGTCTACCCAGTACAGGACATGGGAGATGTTAGTTTCAGACTGCACATAGATTCCCTGAAGTACTTCTCACCTTTCTCCATACCCCTGTGCTCTACTTGGCATTCAGCATGTTAACCATTATGCTGAACCCACTAGTGTGTCACCGCAATCTACTCAAAAATTAGGAATCTACTCAAAATATTAGAAACTCCAAATAGAAAATGAAGCACACCCTTAGTGATAGGATACAGTAATGAATAAGGCAGCCCCTCATTCTGACTCCTCTCATTGGATTCTACTTACAGATAAGAGCAGAAAGACAGACTGCTCAAACAACAACAACAACAACAAAAAATGCAGATGATTCCAAACAAAAGAATAATTCCAATATGCTCTCCTTTAGTGGTACTAGAAATATGATCAAAATGCAGCTTAAAAGCCAGGCAACTGGTAGAGCACACCTGTAATCCTAGCTACTCAGGAGGCTGAGATCTGAGGATTGCAATTCAAAGCCAGCCCAGACAGCAAAGTCCATAAGACGCTTGTCTCCAATTAACCACCAGAAAACCAAAAATGGCACTGTGGCTCAAAGTGGTAGAGCACTTGAGCAAAAATTGCTCAGGGACAGCACCCAGGCCCATAGTTCAAGCTTCATGACCAATCAAAAAAAAAAAATGCAGCTTAAGAAAACCCAGATTCTTTAGAATAAAGCCCAGAAGACTTGGTTCACCGGCCTTTAGATTTGACAGAAATAGAAATTGCTTTACAGAGCAAAGTGTAAGGGAAGTTACATAAGCTAAATGGTTGATAATTGGTCATCATGCATATTTGGAGACATTTCTAAAATAAAATAATGACTCAAAAGGCTAGGATCTATTTAGTCAGAAATGATCAATAACACACAGGGAAGTTTATCCAGAGATCAACAAGCCTACCAATATTACAGAAAAAGATGAATATAACATTCCCAAATTGTCTATAGCTTTTGCTCCCAGATTATATATGTGGTGGCTGTGGATGCATACTCCCTCACCACCTTTCCTAAGTTATGCTTTCAGCTGAGGTAAACCCCGCCATGCCCTGTTGCTTACCAGGGTCAGAGATGTTTCCAGCCACAGCCTTTGCATCCAGCACCATCGGGGAGATGGTTTTGCTCAGTTCATCAGAGGCGGCTTTGACAGCCTCACGGAACTTGGGATCTTCAGAGTTCTCTACCTCCCTCTTAGCAACCAGCAGGATTCGGTTGGCCCGACGAGCGATACTGGTTGCTCCAGCGACCAGCATCTGCGGCTGAATGTTGGCCATAGCTACCTTACACTTGTCCAGGTCCTTTTTAATTGCTTCTTCAGAAGCATCCAAGAGAGATTTGGTATCAATTGCTTCGTCCACCAGCCCTACCCAGAGAACAGAAATGAAATGTAGCTTCTTTAGAGACTCTAAAACACTGTTGTCCATTTGTTTCTCATGAAAAAGTACAGCACTCAGAATTCCCTCCTTCCACTCACAGTTCTTCCTACACAATCAGGTTTGCAGGTAAACACAGTAGTTCCTTCTCCCCACTTAAAAAAAGTGAAGACAAAGCCCAGAAAGTCATATGGATTTGCCAAAATTATACTAACCGTGGTCACTCGCCAGCCAGAAATACAATGACATCGGGAAGAAAACAGGATTGTGTTTGAAACCTCACCACATCACCACATTATCTGTTAATAACATTTTCTCTCTTCCCTTCTCACTCCCAGCCATCTGTTGAGTGTTGGCAGCTTGCAGCACCCAAGATGAGCCACACAGAGGATCCCAGTAACCCTAACAGCCTGCTTCTTGTTTCTGTTACCTCTCTTCAGATACTTCGAGAGCTCCACTTTCATCTCTGGCTGCTACAGACCCCTGTCAGCAGGTTGTACAGGGACAGCAAAGAGCCTATATGCCTAGCTTCTTCCCTCTGTTTTAGCCCGCCCGTCAGAGAGCAGAGGAATTCAGAGATGCTGCTTTAGCCGCACAGACCCAGGTTTGTTGGTGATTGGTTTCTCCTTGTTTTTGTTTTTGTTTTCTGGGTTTTTTTTTAGAACTACACAGTTGATAAGTTGAAGGAAACTCTGAGACAAGTTGTATTAAATGGTAGCTATTGTGGTTCCTTGAAATGTGAGCCCTCTGAAAATGACAGGGACACTTACTGTATCCAAAAACACCGCCTCCCAGCCTCTGAAACCAAATCTCTAGCTCAGACTGGCTGACTGGGCAAAGACACTATTCAAAAAGAAGATAGGAGCTGTAACAATAAACATCACACGGGAAGGACAGAATTCTAAAAGAGGTTCAGTCTCTCTTCAGACAAAGTTGCAAAGCTTGAATGAGAAGCCGCTGCTGCTCAGCAGCTTTAATCAGGGCCAAGTACACTGTCAAGCACATGACCACCCCCTTATCCAATTGCAACTGAGAAACATAACCTGCACTGCTTGAATTTCCCAAAACTCATGGACTAGACAATAAGAACTTGACACAAAATGTTACCTGTCATTTTTTCAACATTATCAATCCACTGGTTCTTCATAGTCTCAAAATGTTCATAAGCAGCTTGATTTCCAGGGTTCCTAAGTAAGATGCGAGCAGCAGATACAACCTAGCAAATGATTATTTACAAAAAAAAAAAAGTAACGATTTAAACACCAGCATACCTACATCAAATCTACAGCGCTTTTCTCCTCTTCGCCTACAGATGGCAGCATAAAGCCAAAATTGGCAAGTTACTTTTCAGACTGAATACTTTTGGATTTAGAATCACAGCTTGATTTTAAGAAATGTGCATTCATTTAATACTTCAAAAGAGTATACACCAAAACTGACATATATTTAAACTCTAAATGTCAACTCTTTGATCTTAATTAGACAGGTGTGGTATATGTCTGTAATCCCAGCACAAACACATCTAATTTATGAATGAAAGGTGGGACACCTATGAGGTTTCAAGAAAATATACTTTGGACTGGTAGTGTAGCATGAGGTGTTTACTTGCTTACCATGGTCAAGGATCTGAGTTCTACCTCTGGTACTACAAAAGAGAGAATCTAATTTGGTTTCTTTCTTTTTTTGTTCATCATGGGGCTTGAATTTAGGTCCTAGGTGCTGACCCTGAGCTATTTTGCTCTACCACTTTAAGCCACAGCTCCACTTCCAGTTTTCTGGTGGTTAATTGAAGATAAGAGTCTCACAGATATTCCTGCCCAGGTTGGCTTTGAGCCATGATCCTTAGATCTCAGCCTCCTGAATAGCTAGGATTACAAGCATGAGCCACCAATGCTTGGCCCTAATTCATATTCATGTTGGTGTTACTTTCTTTTGTTTTTTATTGTTGACTTAAGGCTGAATCTAGTTTATTAAATGCCACATAGGCAAAATTGGACCAATTAATAAGAAATGTTTATTTTCCCACAAGTTCACAGGAAAGCCAGTATTATATTATTATTTAATATATAATGATATATTATTATACATAATTATAATTTTATTATTACATATTATTATTACATATTACATATATATTATATATTTATAATGCCTAATACAGTGCCAACCATACTACTTTTAGTGGATATTTAATAAGTACCCACTAAAAAGGTGGATTTTTATCATCTAAACAGAAGGAAAATTACATAAACATCACATATTAAGATATTTAAGAAAACTAGCTATGCATGGTGATACATGCCTATATTCCCGACATTCAGGATTCTGAGGCAGAAAGATCAAGGCCAGCTTGTGCTACAAAGCAAATCCTATCTCAAATTTTTTTTTTTGAAGCAAGCCGGGCGCAGGTGGCTCACGCCTATAATCCTAGCTACTCAGGAGGCTGAGATCTGAGTATCGAGGTTCAAAGCCAGCCCAAGCAGGAAGTCCGTGAGACTCTTATCTCCAATAAGTCACTCAGAAAACCAGAAGTGGCACTGTGGCTCAAGTGGTAGACTGCTTGCCTTGAGCAGAAGAGCTAAGGGATAGCGCCCAAGCCCAGAGTTCAAGACCCACAATCGACAAAAAAAAAAAGACAAAAAAAATTAATAAAAGTATTAAAAAAAAAACAAAAACAAGAAGCAGGCACCAGTGGCTCACACCTATAATCCTAGCTACTCAGGAGGCTAAGATCTGAGGATCATGGTTCAAAGCCAGCCAGATAGGTAGGACTCCTATCTCCAATTAACCACCAGAAAACCAGAAGTGGGGCTCTGGCTCAAGTGGCAGAGTGCTAGCCTTGAACTGAAGAGCTAAGGGACAGTGCCCAGGCCCAGAGTTCAAGCCCCATGACTGACAAAAAGAAAACTTACCATCTGTTAAAATGCCTTTATACATTGAATTCTTTTGTTTTTTTATCTTCTTTTGCTCCCAAAATTATTAGCTATACTTTGGACCTTGAGAGCTTGTTTGGAGGTTCTAGCAGGGGAGCGCAACTACTAGTATATCCTGGACCAAAGACCGGTCCTCTCACGCAGCTTTGAGAGGGATGCAGATGGAGCAGTGAGGAAGGAAGAGAACACCCGACTAGCCAGCTAGATCAGCCAAATCAACCCTAGCGATCAGCGGGGTGACACATGTCACAGCTAGATTGCCCTCACATGCTATTAGCTATACTTTGATTATATAGTTGTTTGGTGGTATTACTAGAGTTTGAACTCAGGGCTTCACACTTGCTAGGAAGGCACTCTACCACTTGAGCTATGCCTCTCAAATAGGATTACAGTCTTGACTTCCCAGCTGATTCTTCTCCCTCTCACCTCCCACCACCCCAATCCTCTCAGAGATGCTGGGGAAAGCTATAAACTATAAAATGAAAACTAACCTCTCAACATTAGCCAAATATTGTTATTGTCTGAAGTGTGTGTGTATGTGATGGAACAAGATTGTTTTCTTATTGTCACAACTAATATATGGTTATTCAAAAAAAAAAAAAAGAAGCAATATAAAAATGTATAAAGCTAAAAGTCCTGCATAATCCTAACTCTAGAAATCACCAAGTTTGAGATTATGTATTTTTTGAAGTGATGTTAGAGTAAGTGCTTAAGGATGTACATAAAGTTTTTGTTATTGAATATTATATGCAGAACTTAAAACCAAGGAATAAATGAGCAAAACCTCACCTGGGGTGTGAGTTCTCGGGCCGTCTTCACTGACGCCTGAATGCCTTCCACTGTTGATTTGTTAGCAGTACCAACAGCAGCCGCCTTCTCTGCTGTGGCTCCAAGCCTTCCTGAATGGTTCTCAAAGTTTGCTGCTCTCTCATCAAATACCTTAGTTGAAAACAGAGACATAGAACATTTATTTAAAAAAAAAAAAAAGGGGGGGAAGGGGGTCAGGCAAAGAAAAAAAACTCTATATTTAGGCAGGTACAGCATATGCTCAGTCTTCAGAGGAAACATCAAACCTTTCCTAGAATAACATGTACATGTGTGCAAGCACACACACATATACTCATACAACACATACACACACACATAGACATACATGTATCCCTATTTTAGTTCAAAATTCTTACACCAAAGGCAAGCAGGATACATAGCATTATATACTCTACAAATTCACAGACATTAAAGTCTATATAATCCTCATTTCCAAAAGGTTTCTTGTCTAGTTTGAAGAGGACAGATAGACCTACTCCAGGCTCTACCTTGGGTTGGTGACATTACAAGCCCTAAATATCCACAGAGAGTACTAGACTAAGTAATTGTATCCAGCCTCTCTCACATACTCTTTTTTTTTTTTTTGTCAGTCATGGAGACTAAACTCTGGGCCTGAGCACTGCCCCCCAGCTCTTCAGCTCAAGGCTAGTGCCCTACCACTTGAGCCACAGCACCACTTCCAGCTTTTTTCTGCTTATGTGGTGCTGAGGAATCAAACCCAGGACCTCATGCATGCGAGGCAAGCACTCTACCACTGAGCCACCTTCCCAGCCCTCTCTCACATACTCTATTACTGTTATTGTTGTAAAAACACTGCCCTTAACCTCTATGGAAAACTGATAGCTTGTGCTCGTTCTTGGGCCTGACACAGGGCAAGAATGGGTGAAAAAACTACGTAACTATTCATTTCTCAAATTTTATAAATTAATTCTTCGTTCATCATGAAATACTGCACAAGGGAACACCATGAAAGAAACTATTTATTTGCTTGATATGACAAAATGTTTGGATAACATTCATTCCTAGGACTCATCACTGAAAAAGCAAGGTATGCTAAACAGTACCAAGTCAGGTTTGTGTTCTGCACAAAGAATGTCAGGAACTGCCTGTCCAAATGCATCTGCATTTTTTTCATCTCCTCCTGAGGTTCTGCCTGCCCATACTTGGTGCCCAGTACTGACTTAAGACAAAAAATGTCAAAGGTGTCTTGGCTCAACAGCAAACTCCAGTTTCACTGCGAGTGTTCTGTGTCTATCCCCTTACGTCTCTTCTACCTCCCTGACCTTTTGTTGGATTTACCTTCTTAGGATCAGCCATTCATGCTCAGAATCTCTAACAACCCTGCTCTCCTTGTCCTGGCCTTGGTCCTTGTTTCTTTTTTTTTTTTTTTTTTTTT